ACTTTTAAGTGTAACAGCACGTTTTTAACTGCACCTTTCTTCTAAGACCAGAGAAGGGTTTTATGAAGCCTCTTCTCATGAATAAAACCAATCTTAAGTAGAAGGGCTAGAAATGCAAAAGGCAACTTGTCGCCCTTCTAATAAGAGATTTTCCAGCTGGCTAACACAGCAAAATATACTAAAAAACCCTCTTAACATGCTACATTTCCCTTTTTTAGCCCCTAACTCCCATCTCTCCTCAAAGCACACCCCCATCTCCCCAGGGGCTCTCGCAGCCGGTGTTACACAGACCCCAAAGCCCCCTCAGCCTGGCACCGTGCTGCGCGCAGGGGGGTCTGGCTTAGCTAAGCTCTAGGCTCAGCTTCCAGCACCGGACAACATCCCCCCCTTTCCCTGGGTTAGAGTGGGGCTGGAGGGAGAGGCTGCGAAAGGAGGGGTGGGTGGTGTGTGCCTGCCGTGTCTGGGAGCTAACGGGCTTTGTTCCTCGTTAGCGGGCAGCCGAGCGGCGCAGGCCCTGGTGGTGCCCCGGCCCAGTGAGTGTGCAAACCCTGCTGGCCCCGGGACGGGGAGCATGACAGCCTCAAGGCTTCCAGCACGGTGAGTGTGCAGGGTGGACCCCTCTGCCCGCATGGTGAGCGTGCAAGGCCCCCCTCTGCCTGCACGGTGAGGGTGAGTGTGCAAGGTGACTCTCTGCCTGCATGGTGAGGATGAGTGTGCGAGACACATCCTTGCTAGCATGGTGAGTGTGCAAGGCGTATTGCCCTGCCAGCATGGCCGAGTGTGCAAAACGCCCCTCTGCCTGCATGGTGAGGGTGAGTGTGCAAGGCACACCCCTGCTAGCACAGTCAGTGTGCAAAGCACGCCCATGCTAGCACAGTGAGTGTGCAAGGTGTGCCCCTCTGCCCGCATGGTGAGGGTGAGTGTGCAAAGCAACATCCCTGCTAGCACAGTGAGTGCGCAAGGCACGCCCCTCTACCTTCACTGTGAGGGTGAGTGTGCAAGGTATGCCCCCACTAGCACGATGAGCATGCAAGGAACACCCCTGCCAGCATGGCAAGGGTGAGTGTGCAAGGCGCCTCTCTGCCTGCACGGTGAGTGTGCAAGGCGACTCTGCCTGCACGGTGAGTGTGCAAGGTGCACCCCTGCAAGCATGGTCAGTGTGCAAAGCACACCCTTGCTAGCACAGTGAGTGTGCAAGGTACCCCTCTGCCTGCACGCTGAGTGTGTAAGGCGCGCCCCCGCCAGCACGGTGAGTGTGCAAGGCGCGCGCAGCACGGCGCTGCCGCTGCCCCCCCCGGCCCGGCAGGGGGCGCAGGGGCGCGCGGGCCGCAGGGCGCATGCGCGGGCCGCCGGCGCAGGGCGGAAGTGGCGCGCAAGCCGGCGCACGGCAGTGGGGCGCGCGGGGCGCCCATGGGGCTCCTTAAAGGCGCCGCCGCCCGCCCCCGTCCCGCTGCCGGCGGAGGGAAACGCCGCACGTGGCTGGAATGAGCAGGTGGGGCGGGGCCTCCCCGGTGACCCCCCTCGTGACCCGGCACGCGCGGCCGGTGCCTCAGTTTCCCCTGGTACCGGGGGTCGTGCGGCTGTGCTGGGGGCAGAGGCGGCCGTGGGGTTCCCCCCGCCTCTCCGGTTCTTGCTGGGGAAGGGGAGGGGCGGGGGGGGGGGGCAGCGCCCCGGGGAGAGGGGTGTGGGGGGCGGCAAGCCCCAGGACAGGGGGTGCAAAGCGGGTGGAGGGGCTGCAGACCCCGAGAGAGGGAGTGCAGCGGCTGGGGTGGGTGTCATGCCATTTTTTTTTTTGGGGGGGGGGGGGGGCTGCAAACCCCGCCGGAGGGGGTGCAGCTCTGGGCTAGGGGCTACGCTGTCTGAGGGGTGGGGTGCAAACCTTGGAGGGGGACTGCAGACCTCAGGTAGGGCTGCAAGCTCTAGGATTGAGGGGGGGGCTGCCCTGCTCCGTGGGGAGCTCCCCAGGGCAGACTGGGTGCAGCGCCACCGCCCTCCCCCCCGCCCCACTCCCTGGGAGGGCAGTTTGTCCCCCTGACCCACCCGCGGGGGGTATGGGGGGTGGCTGCGGTGGGTCCCACGGTCGAGCCCCCCCCCAGGGGTGCTAGCACCCATCCCTGCCTGCTCAGGCAGCACCCGGGTCCTGCCCAAGCCAGGGCAGTGTGGGGTGGGGGGCACCCAGGCAGGATGAGGCCTCTGGTGCTGTTTGGGGACTCCAGGGATTCAGGGGGGGCACACAGAGCTTTGCAGCCCCAGGCTGGAGCAGCCCAGGTGCTGGGAAGTGCCGGAGGGGTCTGCCTGTAAGATTTCCATCCTGTTCCCTCTCAGGGTTCCAACAGCCCCTTGGGCCCTTCCTGGGCAGAAATAAGGTGCTGAGCTCCGCCAGCAGCTTCCTCGCTCATTAAGTTTTTTGCCTTTATCATCTTAACACATACTTGCTTTATTTTTCCCCCCGCCCTCTTTGTACCGAGCATCACAGCGCTGTACCCAGACCCATCAGCGCTCCAGACCGAGCCGTGGGATCAAGGTCATGGTTTTAGGGATTTATTTTTGTCCTGGATGGAAAAGGGAGCTGAGAAGGGAGCTTAGATGCATCCAGAAAGCCCTCCCTGATGCCCTGGGGGTGCTCTGCTCCCCGATTTCGAATGGGAGAGGGCCGTGTCACAGCACGTTTTAAGCCGTTCAGGCGTTGCAGTGCTGTGAGCGAGAGCTTTTCCCCCTGCTTGCGTAAGGGTTTGCGTGAAGGGCTGGATGCGGAGGGAAGGATCCGGTGCTGGGGCCAATGCCCTGCCCGTGGCACGGCTTTGCAACAGCCGCGTGGCCCGCGGGGAGCGTGCCAGGGTGCTGTGCCGCCTCGCCGCCGTCCCGTGACGGGCATGATGGGACTCATGTGGGACCCCTGCCCACCCCACAAACAGCACCCACCTCTCCCCGTGGGGCTGGCGTGTGCGGCACCAGGGTAGACCCATCCGTGCGCGCAGCCTTGGGCACCTAACAAGTTCAAAGCCTGTAATTGCAAGATTAATTGAGCCATGACTGCTCTGACCTTGCAGATTGCTGAGTCAGATGGTGAAGGGTTTGGGTTGTTTCTTTTGTTTGGTTGGGTTTTTTTTTTTTGCTGCATTCCCTGGCTTTAAAAAAAAACAAAAAAAAAACCAAACAAAAAAACAACATGGGTTCCTGAAGCCTGGAAACTCTCCTGCCATGGCCCCAGCCCCATCACAGCGTGAGGACCATCCCCAGGCTGCGGCGAGGGGGAGCAGCTGGTCCTGAGCGTGCACAGCACGCTTGGGCTCGCTTCTCCGTGCCTTCCCCCCCCTCCCGGCCGCAGGAAGGGTGCGATATCCCCCGCTTCCCGAGGGCAGAGACGCTGGCCCCGGGGGCCACAACTTTGCCAAGCCTCAGGCGTGGGAGGGGGGACAGGCAGCAGCGGGATGGGGGGAGGCATGCAGAAGGGTTTGGATGTGCAAACCCTTTCTGGGGTGCTTGTTGCAAGCTCACACCCCCTGTGCAAGAGGGATCATTCCCCCACCCCAGGTGTCCCTCCATGGCTGTGTTGGGCTCTGCTGCCTTCTCAGCTGGGGCTGCGGGGGGGCTGTTGCACTGTGGCTGGTCTTTGGACTTTGTTCCTTCCTGTCCCTTAGTTTTCCAAGCGCAGGGAGGGGACAATCCTCTCCCTCAGCAAGGACACGGAAGGCTGGCCTGGACTGTCCCCACCTCTCCAGTGAGGCTGGGCCCACTGCCAGTGGTGGGGCCCGGGGGAGCGTTATCGGGCCTGGGCTGGCCCCAGAAGTGGTCCCTGTCACCCCCCCACACACACACCTCCCCGGGGCAGTGTGATTACTGGGGGGGGGCGGGGGCCGTGCCTGCCCTGTGCCACATCGATAGTGCTGCCGGGGGTGGGATGCCTGCCCTCGCACCAGCGGAGTGGGGATGCTGGGGGGGCTCACTGGGGAGCCATCACTCATCCCTGGGCAGGGAGCCCCCCCCACCCCAGCCTCAAGCATCCCCCCCATCCTGTGTTTTACAGGGGGCCAGCGCCATGGCTGAGAAGATGTCACCGAGCCCTGGCAGGGGCATCACGCCGCTGCAGCAGATGCTGGCCTCAGGGACGGGGGCCATCCTCACCTCCCTCTTCGGTGAGAACCGCAGAGAGCGGGTGCTGGGGGGGGGGGGAGGGAGGGGAGGGGCTGGCACGGTGTGGTGGGGCTGAAGGATGGTGTCGTTTCAGTGACGCCGCTGGATGTGGTGAAGATCCGGCTGCAGGCTCAGAGGACCCCCTTCTCCAAAGGTAACCCCGCTCGGGGCAGGGTGGAGGGGGCTCCAGCCACCCCCCCCACCCCCAAGTCAGCCAGTGAGCAGCCCACGTGGATGTCTCGGTTGGCAGAGCCGGTGACGGGGATTTCTCAGCTCCTGAGCGTGGGGCCGTCGCGAGGTGGCAGGTTACCATGGGCCCCTCGTCCTGATGGGCTCGGGGGGCCCCGCCGGGGGAGCTGGGCTGATGCTTGGCTCCATCCTTCCCCTTCCACAGCCCCGTGCTGATGCTGAGTGGGGTCAGCGCTGTGCCTAGCAGCCCCCTGCCCGCCGAGGGGCGGGGTGGAAGGGCTCAGCCCACTCCAGTTGCTCGCTTTTTCCCCCCCCGCTGTCTTTGTGCCTGTCTCTGTGCTGCTCCCCACAGTCTCCTTGGGGCAGGAGAGACCTGTGGGCTCTGCCCCCCCCACCCTGTCTGCCCCCTTTCCTGCGGGGTCAGCGGGCTGGGGCTGCTCCCAGGGGACTGGTTTGGTGATATTAGGGACTGCTTGGGAAGTGACTGTGGGGGCATCCAGCCCCTTCACCCACGGAGCTCTCCCAGTGCCCAGCTCGGAGCTGCGGCACACGCGTGTGCACCAGCCCGAGGAGGTGGCACGTCCCCCGTGTCGTCGCTCAGCGTGTCCCCGTGTTGTGTGTTTCAGCGTTGCCAGCACGGTCAGTGCCCTGGGGCGCTCAGCAGGCCACATGTGAGTACGCCCTGGGGCTCCGGGCAGCTCCTGCCGCCAGCAGCTTTGCTTTCCCGAGCCTTGTCCCTGGTTTGCTTTCCTCCTGGTGGCAGCTCAGGCTGCTCCGGTTGAGAAGACATCCCTCTCTAGTGTGGGGGCTGCGATCGTCCCCAGCCCCACTTTGGGGCTGGCTGTGCAACATCTCCACTGGGTTCTTGCCCAGGGGGTCTGCTGGGGGTCTGTTGTGCAACAGGCCTGGCTGTCTGTGGTCCCCTTGTCCTTGTCACTCTGTCCTGTCGCTAAGGCAAAGTCCCCTTGGATCTGTGCTGCCCCACATGCTCCCTGCTGTCCAGCATCCCCATGCCTGGCCTGAGAGCACAGTGGAGGAGCTGTGCTGGCTCCCTGCAGTGACATCCCCAGCTCCTGCCGTGGCCCCATCCCCACAGTGGGGCTGGATGCCCCTCATCCCGTGGGTCTGGCCATGGTCAGACCCTTGCTGCAGGGTTACCCCTCTCCTGGCCTTGGCCCGGAGCTGGTCCCCACCAGGCTCAGGCATTGAGGGTTTGGCTCCCTCCTGGAAGAAATTATGGTTTTGGGGATCAGATCGGCTGGGCACAGGGCAAAGGGGAAGGGTCCACAGTCTCATGGCAATGCTGTTGCCTCCCACCCCAGGGAAGTGTTTCCTCTACTGCAACGGGCTCATGGACCATCTGTACGTCTGTCAGAATGGCAACGGCTGCACTGCCTGGTACAAGACCCCCACCCACTTCACCGGCACGCTGGTAGGGGCTGTGAGCACAGGCAGGGTGGGCAGGGGCCCCCCTGCCCCAGAGAGGGGGTCGGGGTGTTTGCTGGAGGGGTGCTTGCCCATTTTCCCCCTCTAACCCCTCTCCCTGGTGCTCCACTCTCTCCCCAGGATGCCTTCGTGAAGATCACACGCTACGAGGGCGTCAGGTCTCTGTGGAGCGGCTTACCCCCCACCCTGTGAGTTTGGACCCTGTCTGGGGGGGGCCAGTCCGGGTGCCAAGACTGGCCCGGACGCGTGGGCACCCACCTCAAGCCTCCTGCCAGCCCCCAGGCCGGGCATGCGTGCCCCTCACACCCCCTCCTCCTCGGCAGGGTCATGGCTGTGCCAGCCACCGTCATTTATTTCACCACCTACGACCAGCTCCGTGAATACCTGCATGCTCGGACGGGAAGCCGGGGGCACCACATCCCCTTGCTGGCCGGGGCCCTCGCCAGGCGTGAGTACCCCTCCTCTCCGGGGGTCCCCCCCCGTGCCCACCCGCTGTCCTTACAGGAGAGCGTGGCGGGTTTCTTCGCTGTTGCTGCCCGCTGATGGCCGATGTCCCTTCCCTTGCAGTGGGCGCCGTGACGGTCATCAGCCCCTTGGAGCTCATCCGCACCAAGATGCAGTCGCGGCAGCTCAGCTACCGGGAGCTGGGGGTCTGCATCCAGTCAGCAGTGGCTCAGGACGGCTGGCTGTCCCTCTGGAGGGGCTGGGGACCCACCGTGCTGCGAGACGTCCCCTTCTCGGGTACGGCTGCGGCGCGACGGGCTGAGCGGTGGCACTGGGAGATGGTGGGTGGGGACGGGGGGACAGGCACAGCCAGGGCAACCCTGCGTGTGTGTCCGGGGTGCCTCGTTGGAACGCTGCTGTTTATCTCCTCCCAGCTCTCTACTGGTTTAACTATGAGCTGGTGAAGGAATGGCTCTGCAGGCAGGCCCGGCTGGACGAAGCCACGTTCATGATCAGCTTTGCCTCCGGGGCCGTCTCTGGGACGGTGAGTTTGAGGCGCGGTCAGCTGTGAGCAGAGGGAACGGCCCCCGTGGGGAGCAAGGGCTGAACGCTGGGATGGCGCTGGGAGGTGACAGCAGGGACGGCGCGGTCCCGGCTCACCGCCCGGCTGCTGGCCCCGCAGGTGGCTGCGGTGCTGACGCTGCCCTTCGACGTGGTGAAGACCCAGCGGCAGATCGAGCTGGGAGACAGCGAGGTGCACCCAGGTGAGGGGCCGGGCTGTGGGTGGGGGCCGGGCAACCAGGGCATCCCCAGACCCTCACCCGCTCTCCCCTCTCCCCACAGTCGCCGCCTCCAAACCTTCCTCCACCTGGCTGCTCATGCAGCGCATCCACGCAGAGTCTGGCACCCGGGGGCTCTTTGCAGGTAAGGCCTTGCCCCCGGGCTGGGGTTTACTGGTGCCCTGATGTCACCGAGGGGCTAACGGGGTTGTCCTTGCAGGCTTCCTGCCCCGCGTCATTAAGGTGGCACCCGCCTGCGCCATCATGATCAGCACCTACGAATTCGGCAAGACATTCTTCCAGAAGCTGAACCAGGAGCGGCGGCTGCGCGGGTTGTGAGCCGGGGCCGGGGCAGGGCTGGATGCGGCCAGTGCCCCCCGGGGGACAGCGACAGCCCAGCTCCTGCCGAGGGGCCCCGGGAGCAGCCAACCGCACTCGGCCCTGCAAAGCCCAAGTGCCTTCGTGTCTGCGCTCTGCCTCCCCGCTGCCTGGGCACGGAGGCAGGGCCGGGCCAGCCCCGCTCTCCAGCCCCAGCCGCGCTGGGGGGACATTGTGCCTGCTGCTGTGACACTGGGGACACACACACACACATGGGAGTCCCCCACGCTCATCCCTTTGAGGCTGGACAGATGCTGCTGCTGGATTCCCGGATGCTCTGGCAAGAACGGGGTGCCCCAGGAGACTTGGTGGGGCAGGAGAATGGGAGCTGGGGCTCGGTTGAGGACCAAACCCTCGGGGGTTTCTCGGCGTGCCCCACAGCCCTGCTCCAGCCAGGGCTCTGCCCCCCATTTGCCATCAGCCACGCACAGCATCCCCATGCCGGCTCTGCGTGGCATGGGGACACATCAGGACCCTCTACCTGCCTCTGGACCTCTCCCCCCTGTCCCCTGCCAGACCCCAGGCTCGGACCCTGCATGGGGACAGACCTCGCTGCTGCTCTGGGGAGGGAGGGGGGGGGGGACACAGCATTCTGGCAACCCGTGCCCTGTCCCTTCACTGCGAGGGCCTGCCCCAGCACTGTGCCCGCTGTGGGTGCTGCCCCAGCGACTCCACGGGGGAATTTCTCTTATTTTCTTAAATAAAATTTTGTCTCTTAGGGCAAGGATTTCTTTCCCTGCTCCCTGCAAGCTCGAGCTGTGGAACACATCCCCCAGCCGTGTCCCTGCTGCGTGGGCACGGTGCTGTCAAACCCCAGGTCCTTGCTGGGCTTTTACTGGGTGTAAGGGAGACCCCAGGACCTACCTGCTCCCCCCAGCAGCACCCCACTGTTGCTGGGGCAGGGGGTGCCCCATCCTTGGGTGACCTGTATCCCAAAGGTGCTCTCCCTGCTCAGGGAGGGGCTCACCGGACACACACACACACACCCCCCCCCAGCACCCCTGCTTGGGACAGGACCTCATGGCTGGGGGCACAAGGGGTCTTTCCCTGCCCCCCCCCTCCCTTCCCAGCTGGGGGGTGCTCACGGAAGCCAGCTCAGCTTGCTGCGTTTATTAATTCCTTTTGCTCCAACAAGGCAGACGGGGCTGAATTAAAAACCAAAATCACCCAAAACCCAGGGGAGGATGAGAAGGAGGAAGGGGGGGGGGGGGAAGCCTATCCCTGTTGTGGGGATGCTCCTGCAAGGGGGGGACAGCTGGTCCCCAAAGGAAGGGACAGGCCACCCCCCCACACACACACACCCCCCTCCAAGCAGTGCCTGGGCATGGAGGGGGGGCCAGGGGGAGGCTGGGCACTAGACTGGAGAAGCCCGGGTGGGCGTCCAAGGGGCGGGCAGGGGCAGCACCAGGACCCTCACCCCTGGAGGTGTTTTGGCCCTGACCCCCCTCCCTTGCACCCCAACAGCGGTCGCTCCCAGTGTGTTCCCCCCCGACCCCCAGCACAGTTTGTGTCCCCCCCACCCCATCCCCAGCTCACACCGGTCCCAGTTTGGCATCCCCCCCCCATCCCAACAGGTCCATATTTCCAGCCAGGGACCGGGCCGGGGGTCCGAGGCGCAGCCAGCTTGGGGTGTCAAGACGCCCATCCCCAGCCCCCCCTCCCCGTGGCTTCGGCGAGTCCCTCGTCGGTCCCGGGACGGGGAGGAAATCGGGACACACACACACACGCGGGAGATCAGTCCTCCACCACGCCGCTGGGCTGGGCAGCCGGGCCGGGGGGCGGCGAGGGGGCCGGGGGTCTCAGCTGGGGCTGCGGGTCGGGCTGGCTTCCGTGCTGTCGCTCACCAGGCACTCGTTGGACTTGAGGCTGGCCAGGGATTTGCAGCTGGGCAGAGAGGCCAGGGAGCCGCAGAGCCCCAGCATGGAGGGTGTGGGGTCCTTCCCTGCGGGCACAGAGCGGGGTGTCACGAGGGGGCTACAGCCTCGCACCCCAACCCTGCCCGCGGCGGGGAACCACCTCAGCGGGGGGGACTCGGGTGTCCTTGCACCGTTGGGACAGCAGGACAAAGGAGGGGGGGCTGCTAATGGGGGGGGGTCGGGGGTCTGAATGCCTGGGTGCGTGTTGGGGGAGATGCTGAGCCCCTTGGGGCACCCTGGAGTGGGGGGGGGGGGGGGGGGCTCTTACCCAAGGGCCCCCAGGGCTCGCCTTCGCGCTTGCCCTCGCCCAGGCGCTGGGAGTCGGAGCTGAGGCTGTTCTCGGCCGAGAGCTGGTCGGTGCTCACGAAGCTGTGCCTGCGGAGGGACGGCGCTGAGCCCCCCGCCCCGCGCCGCAGCCCCCGGGGCCAGGACAGCCCCGTCATCTAGGGCCAGCCCTTCTCCCCATCCCCTGCCTGGGGCAGACCCCCCCCCCGGGGGTGGGATAGGGTGCTGGGTGCGGGTCAGGGCCGCTCTGCCCACCCACCCCCCCCACACACCCCCCCCAGGGGGGTTACCTCCTGTAGAGCTTGCTGTCCGAGCCGCTGTCGTTGCCGTTGAGGGTCCCCAACGAGGGCCACTGGTTCACCAGGGGTGTCACCATCTCCTTGGAGAGCTGGGCCAGCTGCGGGTTCTCGCAGGGGATCAGCCCCGTCCTGTGGCCAAGGTGGGTGCTCAGCCCCCCGGCACAGTCACGGGTGCCGGGGACGTGACGGGTGATGCAGCCCGCGGGATGTATGGGGTGTGTTGGGGACCCATCCCATCCCACAGAGTATATGGGACACTGGGGACCCCCCATGTCCCACAGGGCATATGGGGCACCCAGGCACTGGGAACCCACCACCCATCGCACCCCACGGGGCGTTTGGGGCGCCGGGCACCACCGCTCACCCTGTCCCTCAGGACTAGTGGGGTACTGGGGCCCCACCCAGAGCCCATGGGGCACCCAGGCTCTGGGGACCCCCCCCCACACCCACCCAGCGGCAGCAGTGGGTCCCCACTCACAGCTGCTCCTGCAGCTCCAGGATGACGCCCTCCAGCTCCCGCTTCTCCAGCTGGTTCTGCACCATCACCTCCTCCAGACGCAGCTTCAGCCGCTTGTTCTCCGCCTCCAGGTCCTTCAGCTGCGACTCCCGCAGCCGCACCAGCTCCTCCAGGTACCCCTGCACGATGCCACCGTCAGCAGCGTCCCGCTGCCCCCCCACCAGACCCCTACCATGTCCCCAGGGCCACCCAGGGTGACAAGGAGAAGGCTGGGTCACCGCGACAGCGGGATGAAGGGCTGTGGGTACCACCGGGCCGTGGGAGTGGGGATGCAGTGGGTGGGATGCTCCAAGCTGGAACATCCTGAGGGGGTTGGTACCCGGATGGCCCCTTCCTGGCTCGTGGTACCTTTTGGGCATAAACGATGCGAAATTTCTGCTCCATCTTGCGCCACTTGCTGTACCAGCTGTCCTCGTCGGTGACCAGGGGCAGGTAGGGGTGTTCAGGGGAGCTGTCCTCACTCGTGCTGCTCTCCACGCTGCCTCGCTCCTCCTCCTCGTTCAGGTAGTCATAGCTGGGGGGTACGGGGGCTCAGCAGGGATGGCACCACGGCGGGGGTCTGGCACGCGTGGGGGGAGCCCAGCTGAGCCCCGCCGGGATACCAGAGGAGAGATGGTGGGGTCCCCACCCCGGGGAGGGCACCCCAGCTCTTACCTCTGCGTGAACTTCAGGTAGGGCGTGTAGTCGATGACCATGGGCATTTTACCGTCCATCACCTCGCCCTTCAGGCAGAAGCTGAGCGGCAGCGGAAGGGAGCAGAGGATCAGGGCAGCCCCAGGGGGGGTTGGTGGGGGGGCCAGCCCGAGCAGGGGACCCACACCCCACCGTGCCACCCGCCCGTACCTGAAGTCAATGGCGCTGAGCCCGATGAGCAGCCCCGTGAGCACCACGGATTCATCCCGCAGCATGATGGCCCCGTCGTCGTAAAACCGCCTGCGGGAGGAAAAAAAAAAAACCAAACTGTGGCTGCGCGTGCACCCGCCGGCACCCCGAAACGCCGCGCCGTGCCCACCCCGGCGTGCCCGCGCACCCCTAGCCCTCCCGGGGCGGCGCGGGCCCGCGCGTGGCCGTGGCCGGCCGTGCCACGGGCTGCTCACTTGGTGGTCCGCGTGTCCTGCAGCGCCGTGGAGATGTACTCGGATATGCGCTTCTCCATCAGCGCCACGCGGATCCAGGCCCGGCCCTGCAAGACATGCCCCCCCCCCCGGCCACGGGGCAGCCCTGAGGATGGGTGCCACCATCGGGTGTTCATCGGGCGGCACCCTTGGCTGCCCCCGGGGCTCTGGTTCCCACCTGGGAGCTGCTTTTGGCCCTGTTATCCCCGCCCCGTGGGGACCCACAGCTCCTGTTTCACTCCAGTGACTCTGCGTGGGTCCTGTGGGGTGAGATGGGGCTGCAGGAGGATGGGATGGAGGGGATGGGGACAGAGAGGGGTTGGGAACGGGGATGGGGATGGGTTGGGGATGGAATGGGGATGGGATTGGGATGGGAATGGGATGGGGATGGGATGGGGATGGGATGGGGATGGGATGGGATGCGGATGGGATGGGATGGGGATTGGGATGGGAATGGGATGGGGATGGGGATGGGATGGGGATGGGAATGGGGGTGGGGGTGGGGATGGGAATGGGAGTGGGGGTGGGGATGGGGATGCGGATGGGGATGGGGATGGGGATGGAATGGGGATGGGATGGGGATGGGGACGGGATGAGAATTGGGATGGGCCCATGTGCCAGGGACAGGGTGTGAATGGGATCAGGAGCAAGACTAGGAGTGGGGATGGAGGCAGGGATAAAGACATGGACAGGGCTGGGGCTGACACCTTCCTGACCTTGGCCCTGGAGGTGCTGATGTTCTCCATGTTCTCGATGCTGCTGACGCAGTTGTTGGGGATCTTGCTGCAGGCCAGGCGGATGTAGTCCCAAAACCCACGCTGCCCATCCGAGCTGAACCAGCTGACGGGGCCTGTGGGGACCGGGGGGGGGGTGGTGGTGGTGGTGGCTGTGGTCAGGGGCCGCTGTGCCAGAAAACCCCATCGGCCCAGAAAGCCCCAGGCCAGAGCCCGGACACGCTCCCCGGTGCCAGCACATGCAGGCACGCATCCCCACGCACCACAGCGATGGGGACAGGGACACGCCGGGGGTTGCACGGGTGCCTGTCCCCGCAAGCCACCGTTACCTTTAAAACGGTGGCTGAGGATCTGCTCGAGGATGGCGGCAAAGTTAACGAACTCCTCGGAGGAGTCGTCGATGGGCTCCGCCGTGTATTTCTCCAACAAGGTCTTCACCGAGAACCTGGTGGGGCGATGGGCGTCACGGGTGGGAGGGGACGGGCACCCGGCGCCCCGCACCCAGCGCCCGTTAGGTTGTGACCAACGGAGCAAAATGCTTTTGCAGACGTTGGTTTTGGAGCCCCGGGGGCGGGCTGAGCTGCGGGCCGGGGCTGGCTGACCCCCCCCCGCGTCCCTGGGGAGCCCACCGGGGCGGCCGCCGCTCCCCTGCTGTGCGAGTGGCCAGGAAGGGCGAACAAAGGCCCCCTTCCTCCCCGGGCGTGCGCGGGCGGTGATGGCTTCCCCTTCCGCCCGGCCGCTCGTGCTCGGCCCGGAGAGATGCTGGAGACACGAAACCTGCTGAGCCCGGCAGGACAGAGGGGGACGGGGCAGGTGTCTGCATGGGACGGGGGGGGGGGTGGGGGGGTGGGGATTGCCCCATCTGTGGGTCACAGCCACACGTGGGCAGGGTGAGACCGGGGAGCCCCGTGACGGCAGGATGAGGGTGCCTCGACGTGACTGCGGGGTCTGGAGGTGTCCCATGCCACAGAGAGGAGATCTGGGGGGTCCCCATGTCAAGATAGTGGGATGCAGAGGTGTCCCATGCCACGGTGAGGAGATCCAGGGGGTCCCTATGTCATGACAGTGGGATCTGGAGATTCCCCATGCCATGGCGAGGAGATCTGGGGGGTCCCCATGTCATGACAGTGGGATCTGGAGGTGCCCTGTGCCATGGCAATAAGTCCTGGGGTTCTCCATGTCATGACAGCAGGGTCTGTAGGTGCCCCGTGCCATGGAGAGGAGATCCAGGGGGTCCCCATGTCATGACAGTGGGACGTGGAGGTGCCCTGTGCCGTGGCAATAAGTCCTGGGGTTCTCCATGTCATGACAGCAGGGTCTGTAGGTGCCCTCTGCCATGGCAAGGAGATCCAGGGGTTCCCCATGTCATGACAGTGGGATCTGGAGGTGTCCCATTCCATGGCGAGGAGATTTGGGGGGTCCCCATGTCACACCAATGGGGTCTGGAGGTGCCACGTGCCATGGTGAGGCGATCCAGGGGGTCCCCATGTCATGACAGTGGGATCTGGAGGTGCCCTGTGCCATGGCGAGGAGATCCAGGGGGTCCCCATGTCATGACAGTGGGGTCTGGAGGTTCCCTGTGCCACGATGAGGAGTCGGGGTCCCCCAGACCCCAGGAGCAGGGCCCGGGGGTGCCTGGCACGGTGACCCCAAACCTCGGTGCATCCCCAGGGCCAGGCTCCTGTCCCAGCCCAGCACAGGCAGCCCCCAAACAGGGGCGGGGGGTGTGGGGGGTGTGTGTCACCCCCCTGGAGGCTGGGGACAGACAGGGACCACCAGTCCCACCACCCCCATCCCCACCGCCCCATCCCACTGCCCGCCCCCCCACCCCGGTCCAGCCGGGCGTTGCCATGACAACCCTCATCCTCCATCCCTGCCGCCTTCATCCCTCCATCCTCGCTGCCCGGAGCCGGGCCCTGACGTCACTTCCTTGGCCCCCCACCCACAAGGGGGGTCCCCGGCCCCAGCCCCCCTCCCCCTCCGGCCCCTCTGACCCCCCCCCCCCCAACTCTCCGCCCGCCCCCGCCCCCCCCCCCGCCCCAGCTACCCCCAGCATCCCCAGTACCGGGAGCCTCCATGTTGTCGTTGTGTCCCCAGCCCCCACATCGCCCCCCCAGCAACCCCCCCACCACCACCCAGCAGTCCCCCCCCTCAGCCCCACCGCCCCAGCCCTCCCCTCCCCCTCCTCCCCATCCTCCTCCTCCCTTTCCTCCAAATCTAAATTCCACGCTCCCCCCGCCCTCAAAATAAAAAAAAAAAAAAAGAAAAAAAAAAAAAAAAAAAAAAGCGACCGCACCACCACTAAGAAAATCCCCCCCCCACTGTGAAGGGGCCGCGGGGGGGGGTGGTATGAACCCCCCCATCCCTCCTCCTCCCCATCCCCCCCCCTCCATCCCCAGCAGCGGTGGTCCTCTCTCTCTCTCTCTCTCTCTCTCCCTTTCTCCCCCCTCTCCCCACCCCACGCTGCCCACCCCCCCGTATTTTCGGGTGTCCCCCCCCCCCCCCCAAGCCGGTCCAGCCCCCACTTGCAGACGGTGATGAGGTTCTTCCTCTCCACGGCGATGTTTCTGGAGGAGGCTTTCTTGGAGGAGAGCCCCAGAGCCATGGCAGCCTGCACGCAGCTCGCTTCCATCCAGAGCCGGGCGAGCCGGCAGGGCCACGGCCACGGCCACGGGCGATGCCCCTTCTCCCGTGGGCCCCCCCCCCACCCCACCCCACACCTTTCTCCCTGCACCGCGCAGGCTTTGCTCCGCCGCCCCCCCCCCCCCAACACACACACACCCTCCCCGATGCCCACGCCAATGGGCCGTGCACCGCCCCCCCCCCCCCCAAAAAAAAAAATAAGGATGCGGGGCCTGGTGCTCTTCCCGCCTCCGGCCCCCCCAAATCTTTCCCCTGGGGAGGGAGGGGAAAGGGGGGGATGTAGCTGGGGGGGCAGCGGTCCCCGGGGGGGGGGCCCTCCTCCCTGCAGGGCCCAGCCCCTCGCCATGACGTGCCACCAGTGGGGACCCACGGTGAGAGAGGGGGAACAGGCTCCGGCCGGACCCTGGGCACCCCCCAGGGTAATTGGGGGGGCCCTTTGTCCCACCCCGGGGCTGAGCTCAGCTGTCCCCCTCCCTGCCCCAGGTCCGCGCTTTGGGGGGTTGCTGAGCATCATCCCTCCCCACGGGGGCTGTGGGGTGCCTGGGACCACCCGATTAGGGTGGGGGGACCCCCACAATGCTCCCAGCGCCCTGCCTCAGTTTCCCCATTTATGTGACAGGGAAATTGAGGGGGGGGGGGGTGTGAATACCATGGTCACCCACATCCCCCCCCAGCACCCAGATAAATCAGAAGCACCCTGAGAGGAGAGGCAACACCCCCCCCCACCCCAGCCACAACCTCTGGGGACACGTCCCCCCTCCCTGCGCCCCCCCGGGGTGCCCCCCACCTTCTCCTGCCCCTGCAAAGTGGGCCCAGCCCATAGCACCCACCCGGGGGGGGGGGACCGAGAGGGAGGGACCCCCAAACTCCCCAGGGCTGTTGCAGGGAGGGGAGCCCTTGGCAGCACCCAGATAACAGTGGGGGCCGTTATCGGAGCACCCAGCCCGCAGCCATCGCCCCCCCCCGCCCCACAGCGGGTGCCACCGGGTCCCCAGTGTGTGGGGCAGCACAGCAGACCCCCGGTCCCCAGCTGGGGTGGCCCCCCGAGAAAAGGGGGGCGGGGGGGGGCAGTGCCACCCCAACCCCACGTCTGGGGCATGAGAGGCACCCCAACAGCTGGCGTGTGCGTGTACATGTGTGTGTGTGTACGTGTGCGCGTACATGTGCGCGTGTACATGTGCGCGTGTGCAAGGCTTGTCCCTTTCCCTGCACCCCAGGATTTGGGGCTGGGGGCCAGGAGCCCGTTTGAGGAAGGCTTCAAACGTCGACACACGTGCCCGCGCACGCGCGAGCACGTGTGCATATATGGGTGCCCGCTCGCGTGCACAAGTGAGCGTGCTCGCGCACGCACGGACGCACATGTGCTTGCGCGCACATATACATGCACACGCACGCACGCAGGCGCACGCTTGCACGCCCACGCGCACACAAACACGCACACGGGTGTGCACACACGCGCACACGCACATCCCCCCCCCACCCTTGCACCGGCGCAGCCGTGACCGTCCCCCCACCTCCCCGCAGGACACCCCGGGATCGGCGATCCCAGGGGACAGACAGAATCCCCGCCGGCACCTCCCGCCTCCCCCCCTGGGGGAACCACCCCAGGAACCCCCTTTTTTTTTTTTTTCAATTTTTTTTTTTTTTTTTAAATTAGAAAACCCCAACCCCACGTGAAAAGGGGGGGGGGGGGGGGGGGCAGCCTGAGGGTTCCCAGGGATTCCCTGCAGGGACACCCGCAGCCTCCTGAACAAGATAGCGGGGGGCCGGGGGGGGCCCGGGGAAGGTTGCGGGGCCGAGCGAGCGGCTGGGGAGGGTCGCGGGGCGCAGGCAGGGCCCGACCTGAGTGCTGCAAGATGTTGCGCCCCGATAACCTTGTTTATGGGGGGGGCCCCGGGAGGGGTGGTGTGGGGGGGTGGGGGGAGCTTTAGGGGTTGGAGATTAGGGAGGGGAGCGTGACTCAGGACATTTGGGTGCGTTCCCCCGCGGGCAGCAGCAGGCAGAGCCCCGGGCAGGGGCTGGCGGCGAGGGCTGGGGGGTCGTGGAGCCACCCCAGGGGTAGGTGTGGGGCGAGGGGGGGCGGTGGGGGCACCTCGGGGCATCCCTGGGGGGTGCGGGGGGGGGGGTGTGGGGGGGGAGCGCCCTGGGGTGCCCCCGGCGTGGGGTGGGGTCTGGAGGGGGTGTCAGAGGGGTGGGCTGGGGGAGGGGGGGGGAGGTGCTGTGGGCCAGGGGGGTTTGGGGTCCGTGCTGAGCCAGGGTGGTGCCTGCACGGGGGAGGGAGCTGAGCCACCCCGCGTGGGTGGCGTGGGATGTATGGGATCCATACTGAGCCGTGGGGGGAACCCATGGCGTGAGGGATCGCAGCCACACTGCGTGGATGCAGTGGGATGTATGGGATCCATACTGAGCCACAGTGGGGACTGGTTGCATGAGGGATCCCAGCCACGCTGCGTGGATGGCGTGGGATGTATGGGATCCATACTGAGCCAGACTGGGAACCAGTTGCATGAGGGATCCCAGTCACGCTTGGTGGATGGAGTGGGTTGTATGGGATCCATACTGAGCCACAGTGGGGACTGGTTGCGTGAGGGATCCCAGTCACACTGGGTGGATGCAGTGGGATGTATGGGCTCCATACTGAGCCACGTTGGGAACTGCTTGCATGAGGGATCCCAGCCCCGCTGCGTGGATGGCGTGGGATGTATGGGCTCCATACTGAGTACCTGCTGTGGGAGGGAGGTCCTGCACCAAGCCACCCTGCGTGGATGCTGTGAGAGGTATGGGCTCCATGCTGAGTGGGTGTGATGTGCGCTTTGGGAGGTATGGGCTCTATACTGAGCTGTGCTGGGTATACGGTGTAGGAGGTGTGAGTCCAGTCCTGAGTCACGCTAGCCGCATCGTGTGGGAGGTATGGGCTCTATACTGAGCACGCTGGCTACGTGGCGTAGGAGCTACGGGCTCTGTACAGCACGCATGGGGTGTACAGTGCAGGATGTATGGACTCCATACCATGCACATGATGTGGGAGGTGTGGGCTCCGTGCGCACGGGGTGTATCGCGCGGGACGTATGGGCTCTATGCTGTGCTCAGGAGACCCCGGCCGAGGTGCGGGCTCTATATCGCGCACACAGTGTAGAGCGTATGGGCTCCATACGGTGCAGGGTGGCACAGGGATGGATCCGGCAGGTCCGGGTGACCCGGCCGTGGGGTGACCAGTGCCCCGCGGGTCCCCCAGCCCCTCACCCCGGCCTCGGGGCGCCGCTGGGTCAGCGCCGGGGTGGGGGGGGGGGGGTGGGGGGGAGCGGGGTGGGGGCTGACGCCAGCCGGGCGTTATCAGTGGGGCGCAGCCCGGCACACCGGGCTGATGCAAGAGCCGCTGGTGGGGCCTGGGGGGGGGGGTGGGGGGGCCGGGGGGGCCCCGGGACAGGCCGGCCTGGGGGGGCCGGGGGGCCGCGGGGCCAGGCGGGGCAGGAAGGAGGAGGCCGTGTCCGGAGCCAGCCGTGGTTCCCGTGGCCTCGTCGCGGCTCCCGCAGCCCCAGCGGGGTCTCTGTGACCCCCCCCACCCCACCCCACCCCCCGGCTCCCGCGGCCCCCCCCGACCTCCTGCATCACCCTGGTGAGATCGAAGGGGGAGGTGGGGGGGGGGGGTGGTCCCCCCTAAAACCTTCCATGCCCTGACATTGCAGCCTCCCCCCCACCCCCATTATCTCCCCTCCTTGTGGGGTCGCTGGTCTGGGGTGGGGGGGGGGCAGCTGGGGTCCCCATCACCCCAACCTGGGGGGCCCCCATGGTGTGGGGGGGCTGGAGCAAGGAGGGTGTAGGATCCTGGGGCAGGACCCCCCCATACTCTAAAGGGTCTGGGCTGGGGGGGGCAGGTGAGGGGTCATGGAGGGGGGTTATAGGGGATGGGGGGCCCGGGTTCCTCCGGGGGTGCCCCAAGGATTTGGGGGGGGGGGGGGGGGGGGAGGGCGGTGTGCAGGGGCAGGGCGCCCCCTGGCGGTTGTCCCCCAGCACGGCCCCGGGGCAGCTGCGGGGGGGGGACGGGACACGGCGGGGGGAGAAGGGGGGGGGGCAACCCCCGAGGAGGGGGCACAACGGGGTGTGGGGTGGGGGTGCAGGCACAAACTGCCCCTTCCCACCTCCAAGCACCCCCCCCCCCACCGCCCGGGGGGGGCTGCAGAGGCTTTGGATGCTGGGGAGGGGCGGGGGGGGGGGCAGCTGGGTGTTGTGTGTGTCCCCCCCCCCAGCTACGCACCATACGGAGTGCTTGCGCGGTCCCGCTTTGGGATGTCCCCATGAGCCCAGCTGTGCCTCAGTTTCCCCTTCCTCACCCCAGCGCTCTGCCAGGGGCTGGGGGGCGGGGGGGGGCTTGCTGGTGGCGCTGAGTGCTGCAGCGTGGGACCCCACCTATATGAGTGGGTCTCTATGGGACCCCACCCCCGCGCGCAGGGTCGTGTGTGGGACGCAACCCGTGCGCGTGGGTCCAGGGGGGGAACCTGCCCCCCGGACGCAGGACACGGCAGGACCGGCCGGCGTGCGTGGGCACGGGTGGGGGGGTTGCCGTGTCCCTGGTGGGAAGCTGCCGGGGCTCTGCCGTCGTCGCCTGACGTCGGTTCCCATCCCGGGTGGCAGCAGGACACGGCACCGCTTCCCCGGGGACCCCCGGCCCCGGGAACCTCCCGTCCCACGGGGAGCGGGTTACGCAGACAGGGGGGCTGCGGGAACGGCCCCGGCGTCCTGCCCTGACCCCATCCCAGGGGACAAACCCCACATCCCGGGTGGGTGGTGGGGGGGGGGGCGGGCCTGGGGCTCTCTCCTAACATATTTTCTCTCCCTTTCCCCCCCGCGCCCGCCCCGACGCCGCAGAGTGCCGGGTTATGGTGCCGCCGGGCTGTTTGCTGGGACGCAGCGGGGGCTGAGCGCGGGGCCATGGAGGGGCCCGGCCAGGTAGGGAGACCCGGGCCCGAGCCCTGGCTCTGCCGCTGCACCCCGGCCGGCTCCCACCCCCGGCACGGCCCCGGCGAGGCACTGGGGGGTACCGGTCCCCGCTGAGCCCCCTTCTCTCTGTCCCGCAGGAGGCCTACGAGGAGACGATGAGGAGGAGCCTGGACCCCGAGGGCTACGAAGACCCCGACATGAAGGGCTCCCACCTGTCGCTGGGGGAGATGAGCAGTGAGTGGCACCCTGGGGGCGCTGGGGGACGCTGGGCACCGGCGTTGCGTGGGGGATGGCGTTGCACGGGCGCCGGCGGCGTAGAGTCGCCAGCGTTGCGGAGAGGCTGGCGTTGCACGAGGGGATGGGGTTGCACGAGGGGATGGGGTTGCATGAGGGGATGGCATTGTGCGAGGGGATGGCGTTGCATGAGGGGATGGGGTTGCATGAGGGGATGGCGTTGCACGAGGGGATGGGGTTGCACGAGGGGATGGCGTTGCACAGGGGGATGGCGTTGCACAGGGGGATGGGGTTGCATGAGGGGATGGTGTTGCACAAGGTGATGGCGTTGCACGAGGGGATGGCGTTGCATGAGAGGATGGAGTTGCATGAGGGGATGGCGTTGCACAAGGTGATGGTGTTGCATGAGGGGATGGCGTTGCGCGAGGGGATGGGGTTGCACGAGGGGATGGCGTTGCACAGGGGGATGGCGTTGCATGAGGGGATGGCGTTGCATGAGGGGATGGCGTTGCACAAGGGGATGGCGTTGCACGAGGGGATGGCGTTGCATGAGAGGATGGAGTTGCATGAGGGGATGGCGTTGCACAAGGTGATGGTGTTGCACAAGGTGATGGTGTTGCACAGGGGGATGGCGTTGCACGAGGGGATGGCGTTGCATGAGGGGATGGCATTGCACAAGGGGATGGCGTTGCATGAGGGGATGGCGTTGCACAGGGGGATGGCGTTGCACAGGGGGATGGCGTTGCACAAGGGGATGGTGTTCCATGAGGGGATGGCATTGCCTGAGGCGATGGCATTGCATGAGGGGATGGCGTTGCATGGGTGATGCTGTTGCACAAGGGGATGGCATTGCACGGATGATGGCGTTGCACAAGGGGATGGCGTTGCACGGATGATGGCGTTGCACAAGGGGATGGCGTTGCACGGGAAGCGGTGCCCGGTGGGTGCCAGCATTGCAGGGGCACCGGCGGTTCGAGGTCGCGTGTTGCATGGGCGCTGGAGTTTCATGGGCGCCGGCTGCGCATGGGTACCAGCATGGCACAGGCGTGTCGCACGGGCACCAGCATTGCATGGGTGCTGTGTAGGTGCCAGCACTGCACGGGCACCGGTGTCGCACGGATTGCGTGGGCACCCATCTTGCACCGGCACCATGTTGCAGGGGTGCCAGCAAGGCACAGAGGTGTTGCATGGACACCAGAGTCGCACAGACGTACTGCATGAGTGTCAAGGTTGCACGGGCACCGGCGTTGCATGGTTGCCAGAACTGCACGGGTGCTGGCGCTGCACAGGCATGTTGCATGGGTACAGGTGTTACACAGGCATGTTGCATGGGTACCAGCATTGCTTGGGCATATTGCACGGGTGCAGACGTTGCACAGGCATGTTGCACAGGTACAGGCGTTGCACAGGTGTGTTGCAAAGGTGCCAGCGTTGCATGGGCGTGTTGCACCGGTACAGGCATTGCACAGGCACGTTGCATGCTTGCAGTGATTGCACGGGCTTGTTGCACAGGTGCAGGCATTGCACGGGCTTGTTGCACGGGTGCAGGCGTTGCACAGGCAGCGGGGCTCGCTCGGTCAGGTGGGGACACGCAGCCCTGGGGGTCGCATCACCCAAAGGCAGCAACACCCTTTGCCCAGGCCCCGACGCCGATGAGGCACCCGAGCTGTGGGTGCCCAAGATGGGGCCAAGCTCGGGGACACCCGGGGTCCTCGAGGCCACGACCAAAAAGCCCCCGGGGAGGGACGTGAGGGGAGTTTGGAGGGGTCTGTGTGCCCCGGAGCATCCATTTGCCTGGAGCTCGGTTGATTCGGAGCTGCCACCCCGAGCGGGTGCTTGGGCCTCGACGGCTCCTGGAATCCAGACCCTCGGGTCCCCGTTTGGGGTGACGCAGGTCGGGGGGGGGTGGGGGGGTGGGCAGGGGGACGTAACGCTGCCGCCTGTTCTGCGCAGGGGCCGGCGCCGGCACCGCGTCCCCCTTGCACACGTGGAGGGCCAGAGCCGAGGAGCTGACGCCCCTGCGGTGAGTCCCCCCAAATCGGGGAGGGGGCCGGACACTGCCCCGCCTGCCCGGCTGGCATCGGCGAGGGGGGGCTGCCAGCACCCACGGGTGCCCAGCGCTGACCCCCCTGTCCCGGCGGTGTGTGTTTTGCAGCCAGTATTTGCCCAGCCGCCGGGGATGCTATGACGTGGATGGGAGGAGGCGCGCGGCCGGGGTCCCCCCGGGACAGGCGAGCCGCCGTGGCGGAGGGCAGCGTGAGTGACCGCAGGGGCACGGGGCGGGGGGGGGGGGGACACAAAACCCAGCCCCGGTGTCCCCCCTCCCTCACCCTCCCCATCCCAGCCCTCCGTCGCTTTCGGCTTTGCCGCCCCCATCCCTGTCCCTGTCACCCGTGGGGTGACCGTCACCCAGGCGTCAGGGCACGCTGTGGGGTGACTGCTGCCGCTTGTCCGTAATCGCCCGCTGATTGAGGATAAATAAAGTCTTTGTTTGGGGTGAGGACAAGAACCACTTGGGGCCGAACGCCGGCTGGCGCCGGGCGGCTTGGTGGCGGCGGCAGCGGGCCGGGACGAGGACAGGCTCGTGCCCACGTGCCACGGCCAACGCCGTCGGGGAGGCTGGCGGGGGGGACACGCACCCCGTCCCCACTCCCGTGGGCACAGCATCCTTCAGCCAGCAGAGCAGGATGCGGCTCTTGAGGCATCACCCCGCCGGGTGACCGGGCAGGGGGGCAGCGAGGGGACCGCGGTGGTCCCTGGTGGGAGCGGAAGGGGGACGGGGTGAACCTGTCCCCGGCACTGGGGGGGCCACGGGTGGGCGGGAGCCACGCTGGTGTTTACTGTCAGCAAAGGCAAAGCGCTCCGGGATTTACGGTGCACACAGGGCGGCCGCGGGGCGTGGGGCTCGGCCCCCACTTTATAGGGCTGGAGCCTGCGGGGCCATGGGGAGCGCGGGGGGGGCTGCAGGTAGGCGGGGGGACGGGGACACCTCGAGCTTCTGGGGTCTGGCTGGGATGTGCTGTCCCTGTCCCAGTCCAAGTGGCAGTGCTCGGTGCTGGGGTCGGGGTTGTGGCAGTGGCAGGGCGGCCTCGGCCCTGGTGATGTCCCCAGACTGTCACCCTGCCCCAGGAGCTGGGCTGCGGAGATGCGAGGGGCTGGAGGTGGGTGGGGGGTGATGGAGGGACACCGCCAGCAAACCCCAACTGGGTTTAAGGGGGGGGGTGTGTGTGTGTGATAGAAGTGGGGACACATCCAGCAAACCCCAACCGGGTCTGGGATGGGAACAGTGGGATGGGGGACAGGTCCGGCGAGTCCCAACCGGGGTGGGGGTGATGGAGCAGGGGACACATCCAGGAAACCCCAACCGGGTCTGGGATGGGGGTGACGGGGGACACCGCTCCAACAGACCTCGGGGTGCGGGCTGGGGCAGGGACCAGCTAACGCGTTGGTGGCTCCGCTCACAGCTCCGTCGTTGACCGATGTGGACCTGGAGGCGGTGGGGAGCAGGAGGCCTGTGTCTCAGCAGAAGACTCATGAGGTGGGTGCTGCCCCGGGGACCCCCATTCCCTGTCCATTCCTGGGGGTGGGCAGGCGGTGATCACCCCAGGACCAAGCTCACACCAAACCCTGGGGACACCAGGGCACGGGGGGGGGGGATGCTAGCGTGGGAGCCGCAGCTCTGCATCTCCTTGGGGGTCCCTGGTGTGGCTGGAGGGGACCCTGACACCCCCCTTGGTTCCGGCTGCAGGGCTACGTGGAGCTGCATGAGCTGGTCATGGACACCACGAAGGAGCTGTGCTGGATGGAGGCTGGCCACTGGCTCAAGCTGGAGGAGGACTTCCAGGAAGCCAGGCAGTGGGGCCAGCCCCATCTCTCCTTCCTGACCTACCGCAGCCTCCTGGAGATCCGACGGGCTCTGCCCAAAGGTGGGGGCACCGGCTGGGGCCGGGATGGCAGTGGGGACCCCGTGCCTGCTGGCCGGTGACAGTGCTGTCCCCGCAGGCATCATGCTCCTCGACGTGGCGGCCAACTCGCTGGTGGCCATCGCCTACATTCTCATCGACCAGATGATCTTCCAGGGGCAGATCAAGCCGCAGGACAGGGAAGACATCCTGAGGACTCTGCTGCTGCAGCACAAGTACGGCCAGGGCTGACGGCTCCTGGGGGTGTGGGGGGGGGTGGGGGGCACCCCAAGGTCTGGGCTGGATCCCACCCCAGCGAGTCCCACTGGAGCCCGGCACGGGGTGGAAAAGCCCCTCTGTGTTTTGGGTTTGCCTCCCAGCCCACTTTGGGGGTCCCTTGGGGTTTTCGGGGTGGGTGTCAGTGGTGCTGGCCTGTCTGATGCCACCCCCCCCCCCCGTGCTGCTGTAGGCACCCCAGAGAGGGCGAGTCGGTGGGGACCCTGTCGCCAGCGCTGCTGCAGCGCTCGGGCGCGGGGCAGGCAGAGACGGAGCAGCCGCTGCTGCGGGAGCAGAAGCCCCTGGAGCTGCACAGGCTGACGGGGGCCGAGCAGGCAAGAGGGGCTGGGGGGGCGGCGGGGGGGCCGGGGGGGGCATTGGGGTTCGGGGGCAGGGGTGCTGGGTCCGGGCAGGGCGTGGGGAGGGCTGCTGGGGGGGGGGGCGTGGGGAAGGGGTTGCACACGCACACACAGACGTGTGCGCGCACGCGTGAGGCGGTTGCACACCGAACGGGGTGCAGGATGTTGCGGGGACCCCCCCCCGTGCTGTGCGTCCCCGGGGAGCGCCCGCTGACACACACTCGTGCACGCTTGCACACCCAGGCAGACGTGCTCACACAGGCACGAGCATGCACGAGTGCACGGGCACGAACACACACACACACACCCCCCCGCCGACCTCCCACGCACGCTGCTTTCTGTCGCCCTCACACACGTGTGCACACACACGTGCACATGCATGCCCACACCTTCACATGTGCAGGCGTGCACATGCATGTGCATACGTGTGCACACCCACACCTTCACACGTACAGGTGTGTGCACGCACATGGGCGCACACGCATGTGCACACGTGTGCACACCCACACCTTCACACGTGCAGGCGTGTGCACGCACATGGGCGCACACGCATGTGCACACGTGTGCACACCCACACCTTCACACTTGCAGGTGTGTGCGCGCACGTGGCTGCACACACATGTGCATACGTGTGCACGCAGGAGAGGCGTTGCCGTGGGGTGGGGCGGGGGTGGTACTGGGGGGGCTGGGCTCGCAGGGGACAGAGGGGGACACGCAGGGGATGGCGGGGGACACGGAGGGGGACGGCCACCAAGGATGTCTGGCTCATCCCCGTCTGCCCGCCACAGAGCTCGAGCAGAGCCGCCCACCCCCAGCTCCCTGAGAAGGTCCCCACGGATGCCGAGGCCACGCTGGTCCTCGTGGGTGAGTGGGCAGCGGGGCGGGGGGTGCAGGACCGGGGCGGGGGGTGCAGGACCGGGGCGGGGGGTGCAGGGCCGGGGCAGGGGGTGTGGGGCCGGGGCGGGGGGTGCGGGGCCGGGGTGCGCAGGGGGGAGCTTTGGCATCTGCCTGTTGCTGCCTGCTCGCTCACTCGCTGCCTTTCTTGCACCTTTTTTGACTCTCCCCCTCCTCAGCCCTCGCCGCCGCCTGCTGCCGCTCAGTGCTGCCCCGTGTCCCCATGTCCCTTGTCCTCACAGCCCATTTCTCCACTTCCCCGTGCCCCCATGCCCCCATGTCTCTATGTCCCCTGTGTCCCGATATCCCCGTACCCCCATGCCCCCATGTCTCTATATCCCCTGTGTCCCGATGTCCCCGTACCCCCATGCCCCCATGTCTCTATATCCCCTGTGTCCCGATATCCCCGTACCCCCATGCCCCCATGTCTCTATGTCCCCTGTGTCCCGATGTCCCCGTACCCCCATGCCCCCATGTCTCTATATCCCCTGTGTCCCGATGTCCCCGTACCCCCATGCCCCCATGTCTCTATATCCCCTGTGTCCCGATATCCCCGTACCCCCATGCCCCCATGTCTCTATATCCCCTGTGTCCCGATGTCCCCGTACCCCCATGCCCCCATGTCTCTATGTCCCCTGTGTCCCGATGTCCCCGTGCCCCCATGCCCCCATGTCTCTATGTCCCCTGTGTCCCCATGCCCTGATGTCCCTGTGCACCCTTGCCCACCTGTCCCTGTGTCCCCATGTCCCTGTGTCCCTGTGCCTCAGTGTCCTCATGCCTTTGTGCCCCTATACTATTCCCTTTGTCCCGTCCCCATCCCCGCCCCCCGTCCCCACACCTCTGTCACCTTCTCTCCGTATCCCAATGCCCCCATGTTTCCACGTCCCCCGTGTCTCCGTGCTCCTGTGTCCCCGCGCCCCGTGTCCCTGTGCCTGGCCCCCCCCATGACCCCCGTCCCATCCCGTCCTCCCCCCAGGCTGCGCAGCCTTCCTGGAGCAGCCCATGCTGGCCTTCGTGCGCCTGAAGGACGCGGTGACACTGGACACCGTCCTCCACGTGCCCCTACCCGTCCGCTTCCTCTTCGTGGTCCTGGGCCCTGACAGCCCCCACATCAGCTACCACGAGATCGGCCGCGCCGTTGCCACCATGATGTCCGAGAGGGTACGGCTCCCCTGCCACCACCACGGCCACCACCCCTGCCACTGCCACTGCCAGCCAGGGTGCCAGCCCCGCTGAGCACCCCAAAGTCCCCAGCGCTGAGGCTGCACCCTCTAACACCTATGCCACGTCCCCTTCAGTGCTCGTGTCCTTCTGTCCCCATGCCACTGTGTCCCCTTGTCCCCAAGCACCCGTGTCTTTATCCCTCGGGGTCTCCATGTCCACATGCGCCCCTGTCCCCATGTCCCCAGCTCCACGTCCACCCCTGTCCCTATGTCCCTGTGCATCCCTGTCCCCACACTTCTGTGTCCCTGTGGCCCCACGCTCCCGTGTCCCCATGTGCCCAGGCCCCTGAGTTCAAATGTCCCCGTGTCCCCATGTGTCCAGGCGACCATGTCCCTGTGGTCCTACGTTCCCATGTCCCCCTTTATCCCCATGTCCCCAAGCCCCTGTGTCCCCACCCTCATGCCCCCACGTCCCCATGTCCTCCTCTCCCCACGATGCCCCATCCCCGCGGGGATGCTCAGGGGCCGCCTGGGCGCCCAGCAGCACCCAAGGGTGCTGGAGATGGCTGAGCGCCTGTCCCCCGGGGCCACCCCACAGGTCTTTCGCCAGGACGCCTACCTGGCCGAGGGCCACCAGGACCTGCTGCAGGGGGTGGAGGACTTCTTGGAGGCCAGCATCGTCCTGCCGCCCACCGACACCCCCGACCAGCAGCTCCTCAGCAGCCTGGTGCCACTGCAGCACGAGCTGCTCCGCCACCGCTACCAGCGCGCCAAGAAAGCGCCGGCCGAGGGCTTCCGAAAAGACCTGGGTACGGCGGGGACCACCCTGGCCCCCCCCATCCCCGCATCCCCTGTCCCCATGGCTGCCAGGACCCCACCCCCCTCCTTGCACGTGGGGTCGTTGTGGGTGTCCCCCCCCCCCCTCCCCAACCCTCTGCTTGTGTCCCCAGGGCTGGAGGAGCCGGCGCCAGAGGACGACGACCCCCTGCGCAGGACGAAGCGACCTTTTGGGGGGCTGGTGCGGGACATCCGCCGCCGGTACCCCAAATATCTCAGCGACATCAAGGACGCTCTCAACCCCCAGTGCCTGGCTGCTGTCATCTTCATCTACTTCGCAGCGCTGTCACCTGCTGTCACCTTTGGAGGCTTGCTGAGTAATGGGGGGGGGGGGGGGGGGGGGGAACAGGCTGGGGACACGCCGGGGGACGGGCACGGGGCTGGGGGAGCGGGGTGCCACCGCTCTCAGCATCATCCCCTGGGGGATGCTCCTTGGGGGGTTAATCCTGGTGCTGAGGAGTGTGGGGAGGGGGGGACACAGTGCTGCTGTGTGTCCCCCCGCCCTGCACCCACTGGCTCTGTGTGTGTGTCCCCCCCCCCCCAGGTGAGAAAACCAACGGCATGATGGGGGTGTCGGAGCTGCTCATCTCCACCTGCGTGCAGTGCGTCCTCTTCAGCCTCCTCAGCGCCCAGCCTCTGCTCGTCGTCGGCTTTTCGGGGCCCCTCCTCGTCTTCGAGGAAGCCTTCTATTCAGTGGGTTCCTCCCCCCCCCCCAACCCTGCACCCCCGAGTGCCCCCCACCCGCCACCGGCGGTCCCCACAGCGGGCTCGTGGTGTCCCCCCCCCCCCAGCCCTGGCAGAGGCACGGGGTGCCGCCAGGAAGGGATGTCACGCGGGTGATGGATGACACTGGTGAGGGTGGCACATGAGGGGTGACCCTGGTGGGGCGGCACGTGGGTGACGCCGCGTGGGTGACGCCGCGCCCGCGGGCGACGGCACACAGGCGATGTCGTGCAGGTCGAGCCGGCCGGGTGGTGGCACCCGGGTGATGCCGGGCCCCTGGTGCCACATGGGTGACACCAGGCGGGTGCTGCCGTTGGGGTGCTGCCCAGCGGGCGATCCCACAGGGCTCCTGCCGCACCGAGGTGCCACCATCCCCGTCCCAGCACACCCCCCCCCCCCCCCAGACCCCAGTCAAGGAGGGGCAGGGCCACCGTGGGGACCCCGGGGTCCGGCCCACCTGGGTGCCCATGCCAGGGGCTCACGGGGGGGCTCACGGGGCTGTGTCCTCTGGCTCCCCAGTTCTGCAGTAATTATGGCGTGGAGTACATCGTGGGCCGGGTCTGGGTCGGCTTCTGGCTGATCCTGATGGTGCTGGTGGTGGTGGCCTGCGAGGGCAGCTTCCTGGTGCGCTACCTGTCCCGCTACACCCAGGAGATCTTCTCCTTCCTCATCTCCCTCATCTTCATCTACGAGACCTTCTCCAAGCTCGTCACGGTGAGGGGCGCGAGGGTCCCGTGGCAGGGAAGAGAGGGGGCAGGGGCTGCAGATTGTGGTCATCGCCCGGGTTTCCATAGAAACGGTGGGAGCCGGGCAAGGGATGCAGGCGAGGGATGGAGCCCGCCTCCCAGTATTTTCTCCCCCCTTCCCAGGTGTTTTGCAGTTTGTGCTTCTCTCCACGGGGGGGAGGATTTTAGGGCAGACATCCCACCTGGGCTGTCTAGGAACCTTGTCTAGGAACTGATCAGAGAACCCCGATTTCTTCCCCCATCCCCTGGCTCAGACCCTTCCTGGGCTGGCTGGTAGAGATGGGACAGTGTCACCCCACGCACTGGGTGCCCACAGGGACATCTCTGGTGGTGGAGAGGTGACAGGCAGGACACCTGCCCCATCACACCCTGGACCCCCATCACACCAAGGTGCCCCCGTGCACCCCTCTACGAGCTCGGCGCAGCCCCAAACACCCTGGGTCACACGTGGTCCTCAGCGGGGTCACGCTCGTCCGTCCCCTCCATGCCACCCAGCCCCTGCTCCTGCCCCGTTTCCAAAGGAGCGTGGAGAAAACCGAGCCTAAAAATAACCCCCCTGCTTGCCGTATGCCAAAATCCCGGCCTTTCCGCACACTCTGGCGCGCACCCTGCACCCATGCACCCACCGGGACGGTGCTGTGGGGCTCCCGGCATGGCAGGAGGGGTCCAGGGGGATCCCCCATCCCCACCCGCTACCGGGGATCCCGTCCTCCCTGACCCTCTCCCCTTCCCTCCCCAGATCTTCCAGGATCACCCGCTACAGCGGCATTACAACGTGCAGCCCACGGTCCAGCCCAAGGTGCCAGAGCCCAACACGGCGCTGCTGTCCCTCGTCCTCATGGCTGGCACCTTCTTCTTGGCCTTATTCCTCCGCAAGTTCAAGAACAGCTCTTTCCTGCCTGGCAAGGTGAGGATGGGGAGGAGGGGGGGGGGCATGGTGGCATCCCCCATCCACCCCACTGGACCCCGGAGCAAAACGGGGGCTCGATGGGTGCAGTTTCCCGAAAGGGGCTGGCTGAGACCCTGCAAACTCATTGCATGCTCCTGCAGAGGTCTTTGCTAGAGCTTGCTGCTGGTGGGGACGTGGGGGGGGGAGGGGGTGGAGGACACAGGCGGGTTTAATGCGGTCACGGTGTCCCCACAGGTCCGGCGCTTGATCGGGGACTTCGGGGTGCCCATTTCCATCTTCATCATGGCGCTGGCCGACTTCTTCATCAAGGACACGTACACGCAGGTCCGGGAGCAGCAGGAGGGCAGGGCTGGGGCAGGGGGGCCGGGGGGAAACAGGCATCCCCAACAAGGAGATGTGGACCTGGGGGCTTGTCCCTGTGCCCCGTCCCCTCACTCGCCCATTTCTGCTCCCATCCAGAAACTGAATGTCCCCAAAGGGCTGGAGGTCACCAACTCGTCTGCTCGGGGCTGGTTTATCAAACCCCTGGGGAAGGACAACGACTTCCCCATCTGGATGATGTTTGCCTCCGTGTTGCCCGCTTTCCTGGTCTTCATCCTCATCTTCCTCGAGACGCAGATCACCACGTGAGGACGGGGCAGGGGTTAGGGGGGGGAGGTCCAGGGAGGGAGGGGAGGGCTGTGGGGGTGCCCGGGGGTGGGACAGGGATGGGATGGAACCACCCACCACTGACTCTTCCTCCTCTGTCCCCGGCAGCCTCATCGTCAGCAAGCCCGAGAGGAAGCTGGTGAAGGGCTCCGGCTTCCACCTGGACCTGCTGCTGATCGTGGCCATGGGGGGGCTGGCCGCCCTTTTCGGCATGCCCTGGCTCAGTGCCACCACCGTCCGCACCATCACCCACGCCAACGCCCTCACCGTCATGAACAAAGCCACCGCTCCCGGAGAGAAGTCCCAGATCTTGGAGGTCAAGGAACAACGCATCAGCGGCTTCTTGGTGGCCGTGCTCATCGGTGAGCTGGGGACACGTGTGTGTGTGTGTGTGTGTGTGTCCCCAACCTGGGCAGCGAGGGCTGGGTGCCCCCCAACAGCTTCCCCTGACCCCTCCTCCTCCACCGCAGGCGTCTCCATCCTCATGGAGCCCATCCTGAAGTACGTCCCGCTGGCCGTGCTCTTTGGCATCTTCCTCTACATGGGCGTCACCTCCCTCTTTGGCATCCAGCTCTTCGACCGCATCCTGCTCTTGCTGATGCCACCCAAGTACCACCCCAAAGAGCCCTACGTCACCCGGGTGAGTGAGCCCCCTGTCACCCAGCCCGGTGGCTGTGGCCTTGAGGGTGTCCTGGGCTGTAGCACCCCGTGGTGCTGCCTGCAATTGCTTGGGGTTCCCCAAGGAGCCTCCTCCTTCAGCGTTGACCTTCTCTGGGCTCTTTGGGCCGCTGGTCCTGCCTCGCCCCCCCCCCCCCCCCCCCAGCACCCCGGGAAGGGTGCAGGGTGCTGGACCCACCGCCCTGACCACACTGGGCTCCTCGTCCCGCAGGTGAAGACATGGAGGATGCATCTCTTCACCTTCACCCAGATCGTCGTCCTCGCGCTGCTCTGGGCAGTGAAGTCCACCCAGGCCTCGTTGGCGCTGCCCTTCATCCTCATCCTCACCGTGCCCCTGCGGCGCTTCCTGCTGCCCAAGATCTTCCAGGAAATCGAGCTCAAATGTGTACGTCGCCCTGGCATGGGCTGGGAGCCACCGCGGTGTTGTCCCCATCCCTGTGCCTGTCCCTGTGTCCATCCCTGTCCCCATCCTCATCCTCAGCCCCATCTGTGCCCTCAACCCCATTCCCGTCCCCATCCTCATCCCTGTCCTTGCCCCGTTCTGATCCTCATCCTCATCCCCATCCCCATCCCTGTCCTTGTCCCCAGCCTCATCCCTGCCCCTATTCCCATACCCCATCCGAGTCCCCATCTCTCTCCATCCCCATCGCTGTCCCTGTCCTCACTCCTGTCCCCACTGCTGACCCCTTCCTGTCCCCACCCTGTCACCATCCCCATCCCTACCCTGTCCCCATCCTCATCCTCAACTCCATCCCCATCCCTGTCCCCATCCTCATCCTCAACTCCATCCCCATCCCTGTCCCCATCCTCGCCCCCACCCTGTCCCCATCCCCATCCCCACCCTGTTCCCATCCCCATCCCTGTCCCCATCCTCATCCTCAACTCCATCCCCATCCCTGTCCCCATTCTCACCCCCACCCTGTCCCCATCCCCATCCCTACCCTGTCCCCATCCTCATCCTCAACTCCATCCCCATCCCTGTCCCCATCCTCACCCCCACCCTGTCCCCATCCCCATCCCTGTCCCCATCCTCACCCCCGTCCCCATCCTGTCCTTGTCCCCATCCCCATCCCACCTCACACCCTCTCCCGTCCCTCCAGCTGGACGCAGATGACGCCGTGGTGACCTTCGAAGAGACGGAGGGCGTAGATGTGTACAACGAGGTGCAGATGCCCAGCTAAGGGCTCGCTGCCACCCGTCCCCCCCCCCGGATGGCCCCGTGCCCCCCTGGCCCCCCCCACCTGCTTACAGCCCACTGCTGCCATCCCGGGTGACAGGGGAGAACTTGGGGACACAGCCCCAGAGCCCCAGTCCCCACTTGCGCACCCTGTGAATGGAGCTTTTATTTTTTTTTTTTTTTCCCACCTTTTTTAATCCTTTTTTTTTTTTTAAATATTTTGGATGGTGTGATCTCACCCGCACTTTGCTACCCGCTGGGGAAGAGGCTGCCTGGGCTGGTGGGGGGGAGGGTCCCCACGGGCCACCCCACACCCCGTGGCAGGGCGGGACGACCCATGCCTCGTGTCACCATCCTGTCCCCAAGGCCACCCTGGGCCTGCGAGCACAGGATGGAGCTGGAGGAAGACGCCGGAGCCCAGAGAGAGGAGGAAGGCAGGGACGGGGTGACACGGCAGGGATGGAGACACGGCGGAACGGGGTTCCCCCCATTCTCCCCAGCCCCGCTGCCTCCCCCTGGGGACACCCCCCCCGCCCAGTCCCGCTTCCCCAGATGAACTTTCAGTGCTAACGAGCACAAGCTGAGACAGACCCCTCTCCCCACAGAGCCCTTTTTCCCCTTTTCTCCATCGTTCGCTCCAGCGAGAGCACCCCAGCTGCTCCGCTGCGCTCCCAGCTGCTCCCAGCATCTCCCGGGGTCAGGATGTAAATAGTCCAGTGAGAGCGTTTATATATTTGCAATGAAGATAATAATAACGCTAAAAACACCAAAGAAAAAAATTATGCTGATGCTTCTGCAGGTAGGATTCACTCAGAATCAAACAAAAATCAACGAAAAAGTTCAAAAAAAGCACCTTAAAAAAGAAAAAAATTAGGGAAAAAAAAAAAAAAAAAAAAAAGCAGCTGCAAGGAGTAATCTGTATATTTGATGCTAGCAATTGGGGGAGTTTGTAATTTATTTCTAAAGGCTGATTGTGCTCCCGCCCACAGCGGGGGCCGTGTGCGTGTGTGTGTATATACTAGAGAGAAACTATATAAAAATTTACAATTTTCTAGAAAGGCTTATTTTAAAGGATCCAGGTCAGGGCCTAAACTCTATGGACCAGTCCGGCAGTGCCGTTTAGCTGATGAATTAGCGTTGGTATCGTTCCTCTTTATTTTTTTAGCATTTCAATTAAATCTATGTAGTTTTTAATTGATTTTTCCCTTGCTTGCTGACCACGTCTTGCCCCATTTCCGCCAGGATTGCTCCCAAACTGCATCCCAAAAGCATCCCTTCTGCTGGGGCTGATCCTGCCTGGGTCAGACCCAAGGGCCAGATCCAGCCAGGGTGCAGCGCACCTGATCAGGCTGCGAATTTTCTCCTTTTTGCATAAATTGGGAGTGAGGGGGGACCCCAAAACCAGCGTGGGGGATGGCAGAGGGGGGGCGGCCATGCCCAGGGCTGTGCTGCCTCCTGTTTGGGTTGGTTTAGTTTTATTCATGATGTGTCTGAAATGAACAATATCGCGAGCTTCAGGGTTTTTTTTCTTCCCTTCCCCACACACCTGCATTAGGCTTTAATAAAGAAATTAATAAATCAACATCTGTATCAGGCTTTAATAAAGAAATTAATAAAATCGGAAAGGAAGTGGGTGTTTTTCTTTCCTGTTGGGCATTTGCTAGGGGGTTGCCTTATTTAATTGCCCCCCCCTGCAAAAGATCAGCAGCTTCCTTTGGAGGTGTCCACCCCCCGCCACTCCGAGATGCTCCCTGCAGCTGTACCAAGATGCTTGCCGTAGCATCCCAGGACATTCACTGCATCCCAGCACCCCGGGATGCTTGCGGCATCCATCCTGAGATGTTCCCCATGGTCATCCCGGGATGCTCCTCGTGGTCATCCTGGAATGTTCCCCGTGGCATTCCAGGATGCTCGCTGCCTCCCGGGACGTTCACTGCATCCCGGCATCCTGGGGTGCTCCCTGCAGCCATCCCAGGATGCTCCCCATGGCCACCCCGGGATGCTCCCCACGGCCACCCCGGGATGCTCCCCACGGCCACCCTGGGATGCTCCCCACCCAGGATGCTCCCCACGGCCGCCCCGGGATGCTCCCCACCCAGGATGCTCCCCACGGCCGCCCCGGGATGCTCCCCATGGCCACCCCAGGATGCTCCCCACCCAGGATGCTCCCCACCCAGGATGCTCCCCAGGGCTGCCCCAGGATGCTCCCCACCCAGGTTGCTCCCCACGGCCACCCTGGGATGCTCCCCACGGCCACTCCAGGATGCTCCCCACCCAGGACGCTCCCCACGGCCGCCCCGGGATGCTCCCCACCCAGGATGCTCCCCACGGCCACCCCGGGATGCTCCCCACCCAGGATGCTCCCCACCCAGGTTGCTCCCCACGGCCACCCTGGGATGCTCCCCACGGCCACCCCGGGATGCTCCCCACCCAGGATGCTCCCCACGGCCACCCCAGGATGCTCCCCCCCCAGGATGCTCCCCAGGGCCGCCCCGGGATGCTCCCCACCCAGGTTGCTCCCCATGGCCACTCCAGGATGCTCCCCACCCAGGACGCTCCCCACGGCCGCCCCGGGATGCTCCCCACCCAGGATGCTCCCCACGGCCACCCTGGGATGCTCCCCACGGCCACCCCAGGATGCTCCCCACCCAGGATGCTCCCCACGGCCACCCCAGGATGCTCCCCCCCCAGGACGCTCCCCACGGCCGCCCCGGGATGCTCCCCACCCAGGATGCTCCCCACGGCCACCCTGGGATGCTCCCCACGGCCACCCCAGGATGCTCCCCACCCAGGATGCTCCCCACGGCCACCCCAGGATGCTCCCCCCCCAGGACGCTCCCCACGGCCACCCCGGGATGCTCCCCACCCAGGATGCTCCCCACCCAGGACGCTCCCTGGGGCCATCCCGGGATGCTCAGCCCCCCCACACCCCCTCTACATCCCGGGCTGCTGCCCTTTTGCTGCTGGCCACAGGGCCGTGACCGTCCCCACTCCGGGGGGGGACACGCTGAGCCGCCTGCCCCCGGGGATGTTGTCGGAACACACCACAGCACAGACCCCAGCCCCGCTTCCTCCAGACCACGCGGGCACTAAAATTGACCCTGATTACGTGTAATCTCATTAACGAGAGCAATCAGCAGGGCTGCTGCCCCTATGGAAGACACCTGCCCGTGGCCCGGCTCTGTAAATGGGGCCGTGGGAAGGGACGTGCCCGTTTGTCCCTGAGTTTTTCCACGGGTCAGGCATCAGCGTCAGCATCCGCGGCTGCTCCTGACCGTGACCCCGACCCTTCTCCACGGGGCTGGGATAAATCCCACCGTGGTCACCAGCTTCTCCGGAGCCCGGCGTTGCTGCTAGCTGTTGTTTTCTGGAGACGGAGGTACGTGGCTGACATTTTCCAGCCCGTGGCCTGCAGATCTGGCAGCTGCCTGTCCTTCTGCCAGCCTCGCGTGGGCGAGCCGCGCCGGTTGCCATCAGGAGGGCTCTGCATGCCACTGTCACCGGCCGGACCCGCTGCTGCCATCCCTGCCTCCAAAACCCAGCGCTGCCGCACCAGTGATGGAGGAAAGCCTCTCCCTGCACTCCGTCCTTCTCGCTTTCCACCCTGGGAATAGGTTTTTATTCTCCAGGAGATGCCAGCAAGGTCACTGCCGCGCGATCCAGCCCGGTTTTGGGGGGGGGGGGGATTTAGGTCAAGCTCTCCTCCTGAGCTTGACTTAACCCATTGAAACGTGGTTGGGGGGTGATTTGCGGCGGGGGCCTGCAGCGGTGGCTCATGGCAGGGTGTGAGTTGCAAGGAGGAAAAAAAAAAAAAAAAAAAAAAAAAAAAAAACCTAGTTAACAGGTTTGCTAAAGAGGAGGGGGGAGCACAGAGCTGGGTCACGTCATAGCATCACCCCAAAAGGGGAGAGGCCCGGCGCTGGGGGGGCGCAGGGTGCCCGTGCAGTCAGGGCCGCAGCGTGCCCGCGGCAGCCCTGGATCTCCTCGAGGCGTGCAGCAGAACGCTGTTACTGTTTGTGCGCTGAACGAGTGAAAATGCAGATAAATCCCCCCAAAAAAAGGCTGCAATTGCACCGTCTTACTGCACCTTTATTTGTAGAAAATACTCATCTACACAAATAACTAATTTAAAAATTCCCCTGGTAAGAAGCACGTCCTGGGGAGGGCACAGAGCAAGGAGGGGGGCGTTTGGGGTGTGTGTTTGAGGCGTCTCCGTTTCTGGCCCACCTGCTGCAAGGGTTTGTGGCTGAGTTGCTGGGCTCCGGTGTCCCTCCTCGGTGGCAAAAGCCGCAGAACCCCATGGCAGGGGGGACTGGAGCTGCCCAGCGTGTTTGCATGCCTCATCCAGAATGGCTTATTGGTGTAAAAAAAAAAAAAAGATTAAAAAATCAAAAATTAAAAATGTTGATTTTTTATGTGTTTGGCCTGATTGTCTCTAAATATTTTGTTGGTTTCTTTTTTTCTTTTGCAATTTTTCCCTCTTGCAAAACACTGACATTTCACCTAATTTAGTCCAGGGAAAACAGCTCAGCTGAGGGCCTTTTCCATGCAGAATAAATATATATATATATTTTTTTTTAAGCTTTCACTGGAGGGATTAACTGCTCAGCGCTGAAGCCGACTGGCGTGGCTTGGCACACCTCGGCGGCCGTACCGGCTGGAGGCAGGACCGTGGGACGTGGCGGTGGGGCCGTCTGTCCGTCTGTCTGATCCCTTGCTTAGGGCTAAGGCCCAAATAAGCCACTTACACAGCCGGGTTTTCCCCCATCCCCACCCCTGCACCCCCAAATCAACCTTGGGGGGGGTGGGGAAAATTGTACCCACATTCGGGGATGATTATTATTACTATTATTATTTTCCCTTTTCCACATAAACAGGGGTGAAAATCCCCTGGATTTGGACCATTGCCATGCAGCCAGCTGGGGCTGACCCTGCGTTCCCAGGCCTCATCCTGCATCCCTGGGGGGGGGGGGGGTGGTGGTGGGGGTGGTGTTGGTTGGGGGGGGGGTCCCCACCACCTCCTGCTCGCCGGTGCCTTGCAGCAGGTGCCTGCCCGGGGCTGCCTGTGCCGGCCTGCCCGGGAACGTGCAAACGGCCGGAGCTCGCCGGTAACGTGCGGGCAGCCGGTAACGTGCAGATGGCCGGAGCTCGCCGAAAACGTGCAGATGGCCAGAGCTCGCCGGTAACGTGCAGATGGCCAGAGCTCGCCGGTAACGTGCAGATGGCTGGAGCTCGTCGGTAACGTGCAAACGGCCGGAGCTCCTCGCCCGTAACGTGCGGGCAGCCGGTAACGTGCAGACGGCCGGAGCTCGCCGGTAACGTGCAGATGGCCAGAGCTCGTTGGTAACGTGCAGATGGCCAGAGCTCGTCGGTAACGTGCAGACGGCCAGAGCTCGCCGGGAACGCGCGGGAGGCCTGGAGCAGCCGCGGCGTGCGGGCGGCCTGCGGCCGTAGCGCGCAGCCAGCCCCGGCCGGCCGGTTCCGTGCGAACGGGAACGGGGTGGCCGGTACCGTGGAGGCAGCCCCCGGGGTGGCCGGTAGCGTGCGAGCAGCCTGGGATGGCCCGTAATTTGCAGGCAGCTTGGGATGGCCGGTAATTTGCAGGCAGCTGCCCGGCCGGGATTGGCTGCGGGGAATGACGCCCAGCACAACAAAGGTGGAGTTGGAGAAATTGCATTAAAAAAAATTAAGAGAGAGAGAGAGGAGAAAGGGAGAGGGGAGCGGAGGAAACTGCCCCTCGCCCGCCCCGCCGGGGAAACCCCCCACCGCGGCCGTGTCCCGGGGCCGCGGGGCGGGCAGGGAGCGCGGCCCCGCCGTGTCGGAGGGGACCCGCCGGGGCGGGAGGCGGCTCGGCTCGGCTTCCCCCCCCCCCTCCGCTTCCCCCCCCCTTTTTTTTTTTTTCTTCCTTCTTTTTTTTTTTTTTTTTTTTTTTTATGCAAACGCCGGGCGAGGATTGTTGCACATGTAAGGAGATTTTTTTTTTTTTTTTTTTTTTCCCTCCTTTCCCCCCCCCCCCCACCTCCCCCCCCCCCCCCCCCCCCCTTCCCTCCTCTCTCCTTCCTCCTCCTCCTCCTCCTCTTTTTCTTCTCGCCACAGTGTTGCAAAAGCAAAGAGCAATAAAAAACACGGCGAAAGCGGCGGGAGCGCGGGGCGGCGGCGGCGGCCGGCGGTGCCGCTTGGGGAGCGGCGGAGGC